TCATAAAGTCCTTATTTAAATGTCCCCATTAATATTGGGACATTATTTGTGTGTTATAACACCCCCTCCCCCCAAAAAAACCTCACTTGTACCCAAGTTTGGGTAATTCACCCAAGTTTTGGAAGCACTGTATTATATTAGTCCATATTCTCATGGGCTTTTGAGAATCCTGGTGCAAGGTTTCCAAAGCTCTTCCAGTTGAGAAAATCAAGGTGCTTCAAATTCTTGTTAGATGTTTGAGAGGAAGCGTGAAATATTCTGGTGCCAGAGCAGTTGATATGTTTAAAAGGTATGGTAATTGCACATTATTTTTTATGTCAGGATAAAAATATTTTCAGAAAGATCTTGGCAGGAGAGTTAACTAATACAAGTTAGTCTTTGTGTCAACTTGTTCATCTACATAATTTGGAGGACTCTAAGGCTTTGTTAGAGGGACGCGGTGGCTCAGTGGCTAAGATGCTGAGCTTGTTGATCAGAAAGGTCAGTGGTTCAAATCCCTAGCGCTGCATAACGGAGTGAGCTCTCGTTACTTGTCCCAGCTTCTGCCAACCTAGCAGTTTGAAAGCATGTAAAAATGCAAGTAGAAAAATAGGAACCACCTTTGGTGGGAAGATAACAGCATTTCATGCGCCTTTGGCATTTAGTCATGCCAGTCACATGACCACGGAGATGTCTTTGGACAGCTCTGGCTCTTCAGCTTTGAAACGGAGATGAGCATTGCTCCCTAGAGTTGGGAACAACTAGCACGGGGGGGGGGGGGGGGAGAACCTTTATCTTTGCTTAAGGCTTTGTTAGTTGGAACCCAGCTTCACTTACCTGAAGCCTGGATGAAATCATTGAGGATTTTAATTGCTGTACTTAATAGAGTGGTGTTGTAACACTGACTTCTGTTGGCATATTAGTGACATCTCTGTCTCCCCAGAACAAAAGGGTTTCCAGCATGTTTTTGTTATTTACAAATACTTAGACATAATTGTCTAGGTATTTGTCAATAAGGGGCAGGGTTTTTTCTTGAGCAACTGACAGATGCTTGCAGAGATAATATGAATGTGGAAGTAGGGAGACCTTGCATAAAGGATTAAGAGATGGGGGAGGTTTTGTTTATGTTAGTTGAATTGTCATCTTTGCTAATCTTGTGATTTTGCTCCCAAACTGGCTCTGTCATACTGATGTTTTCAATGATTTATGGATTTTACCGGTAAGGAAAGGATTGATCCCTCCATCTTGCCTGTAGGTCTTCTTCAAATTTGTGTTAAGAGATGAACATACGGTATGTTTGAAAATCCTAAGTAGTTTTCCAAAATCTGTCTGCATTCTTACGGTAAACAGATTCCTTCTTTCCATTCTTTAGGCAGTTTAGTTTGAATTCAGAGTGGATTTGTTCCCAAATAATTCCTAGCAGATAAGGGGAATGAGATACAATAATAATTCTTGATTCAGAGTTTTCAGATGATTCTCTTTTATGCTGATGTAAATGGTTGATTACAAATGGTTAAGCAGCTGCAATTATGGCTTAACGTTAGAAAATAATGGTGTGTTTGATGTTTCTAGTGGTGAAAACTATAGCCACTAGTAATGAGAATAGTCTTGTGTCAAAACTCATTTTTCAACATATCAGCTTTATACTCCGAATATAAATTAGTTCTTGGTGTAGTAGTAATTTTTGATCAGTGGATTTGATTAAAAAAATGAAATGTCAAAGCCTGCCTGGAAAAAATGGTTTATTATGATATAAATAAAAAAGAATTGCAGATATCCCTTTTCTTGTCCATCTTAAGTTTTTTCTGTAATCTTTAGAAGAGACTCTGTAACAGCCAGTCATAAATTATCAGTTTGAAAAAAAAAATTTTCATTTGGAGAAGTACAGAAGAAATGACAATCAAGAAGTACCTCCCTTTCCAAATGCCCTTGATCCATTTCCTCAACATGCTAAACCTTAAAACCAAGTTAGCGCAACAGAATCACTATGTCCATGTAATATGCTACGCCTCAATAGATAAACCATATTATAATTTAAAGTTGCCTGTCATGCTTAGATGGCAGGTGATTTTCTGCAACATTTCCTCTTAGTTAGCTTGTGGTGCAAATCAACATGTGGTGCAAAAGGCAAAAGAAGAAAATTTATATTCTAAAAAGGAAGCACTAACCCCTAATTTTGTGCAGGGATAATTTTTGTTTATATCATTGCATTGAAAGTGGTTCTTAAGTATCCAGGGTCTTTTTTTAAAAAACATGCCACAGGATGAAAAATCTAAATTGGATCAGGATTAAATTTCAATCCTAATTTCTGAGATTATGTTCATTTCAGATAATGGAACCTTGCTAGGCATTTTAAAGTTACTTTACAACAATTTAAAGCATTTTGACATTTCTTTAAAAAATTGCATATTTTTTGAAATTGTTTGATTTTAAAATAAAGACATGAAAACTATTAAGAACCAATAATTAAGATAAAAACAGACAAAAAGAAAAAGTAAAGACTGAAAAGAAAGCCAAAGTTGAAAGTGCAGAAAAGTACAGGTTGTCCTCAATTTACAACAGTTCATTTAACCATTCAAAATTACAACAGCAGTGAAAAAAGTGACTTACGACCATACCCATGGTCATGTGATCAAAATATAGATGCTGGGCAGCTGGTTCATATTTATGACAGTTGCTGTGTGCTGGGCTTATGTGCTCCCCTTTTGCAACCTTCTGACAAGCAAAGTCAATGGGGAATCCAGATTTATTTAACAACCATGTTACTAACTTAACAGATGCAGTGCTTCACTTAAAAATGGTGGCAAGAAAAGTTGTAAAATGGGGAAAACTCACTTAACATGTTTCACTTAACATAAATTTTAGGCTCAATTGTTGCTGTAAGTCAGGGACTACTTGTACAATTACTTCTATGATAGGACTTAGAATTTGGGATATCTGAAATGCTTCAGAAACTTGCCTCCAGAAGTTGTTGGTGCTCCAACAGTAGACGTTTTTAAGAAGATACTGAACAATCATTTGTCTGAAATGGTAGGGTCTCCTGCCTGAGCAGGGTGTTAACCTAGAAGACCCAGTACCATCCAACTCTGTTATTCTAATCATCACATCCATATATCATAATTTCATTTTTTCCCTCTGTTTTAGGCAGAAAGTCCAGAAGGGGCTCTCCAAACAACTTTCACTATTCAATTTTCCATTGTAGGTAATGTCAAATCTTTCCACCTTTGTGCCTGTAAACATTTTTCTGAAGAAACAAGGTACATACCATGATCCGTCAGTCCCCAAAGAAGTATCTCGGGTTTCTATTTTATATTGGTCTTTAAAATCTTCTGCATTAATTTGGGTCCATTTTAAAGCTTTTTTGCAGGGCCACCAATCATGGTAAAAAGTCCCCCTCTTGTTGTTCACATTTCCAACTTACATTTAAAGTACCTTTACACATTTTAGACAATTTTTCTAGTGACAAATATCAGTGGTACATTTTTCATAAATATTATCTTTACAATTATAATGTGTGGATTTCAGCCCTATTATCAATATATTCTCCAATTGTTCCATCTGTATATTATATCCAAAGTTTTTACCCCATTTTATCATGGGGGGTTGGGGTGGGGAGAAAAAGCTGGTTTAATTGTTATTAGGAAAATAAACCCTCAGAAGCAAAACATACACTTTACATACACTATGTATATATTCACAGAAATGCAAAAAGGGAAGCAAAACAGAAGAAGAAAAATATTCTAATACCGACATAATAATTTCACTGTAATAATTCAGTGTTTTAAAAAATGAATTATACATGATCTATAGAGAATGCTATGTTTACTCATGTTGCATCTTCTCAATATAAGGCTTGTCTAGTCCAGTGTTTTTCAACCACTGTGCCGCGGCACACTAGTGTGCTGTGACATAGTGTAAGGTGTGCCGTGGGAAAAACACTTTATATATAGTCAATATAGGCACAGAGTTAAATTTTTTTAACATTTTCTAATGGTGGTGTGCCTCGTGATTTTTTTCATGAAAAAAGTGTGCCTTTGCACAAAAAAGGTTGAAAAACACTGGTCTAGTCTACTTTGTACCATTTTGTCATGACGTTTTGTATTAAAGAATTCCAGCTGGAAAAAAGTTAATCACTGAGCAGAAAAAGAGTAAGGAAGATAAATCCTTGCCCCTGTGTAATATTGGAATGCAGTTAGTGAATTTCACACCTGTGTATTATTGGAAGGCAGATTGTCCATTTACTTGGTTTACATCATTTTTAATGTAAATGGTTTATCAGTGTGGAATTGTGAGATGAGCAGCTGCCATAAAATAAAGTAAAATAAAATGTAAGCAAATACTTATCATCTTGATTGCTAAGAATACTTTCTTTCCAAATGGGTAATTTGGATCCAGAAGATCTTGATCTATTTATCTATAAGATGTTTGAAATTATGTGGTTTCTTAGCAATTTACCACACACTCAAAAATTGACACTCACAATTGAAGTCTTAAAATCAGTATTTTTGGGGTGGCTTAAAAACTGAACAGAGAATATTTCTGATAGGTATTATATGTTGCAGTGGTGAAATTCATTTTTTTTTACTACCGGCTTTGTGGGCGTGGCTTGGTGGGTGGGGCAGGAGAAGGATACTGCAAAATCTCCATTTCCACCCCATTCCAGGGGAAGGATACTGCAAAATCTCTATTTCCACCCTGCTCTGGGGCCAGCCAGAGGTGGCATTTGCCGGTTTTCCAAACTACTCAAAATTTCTGCTACTGGTTTTCCAGAACGTGCTGGATTTCACCCCTGGTACATTGTATTGGGAAGCTAGGAAAAGAGTTAGAGTTCCATAAAGAATAAAAAATAAGTGCCTGGATAAAAAATAAATTGTTTTATAGTAATGTAAATGCAGCTGAGTTATTAAATTGGTAAAAATAAACTTAGTACAGCATATTCATAGGGCTTACATTAAAGGAGCTAATCAGAATGGGAATAATTGTGATTTTTCTTCCAAAAGATTTTTTTGAAATCTTTTTATACTCCTAAAATGGATTTCTATTCCAGAAGTATCATTGGGTGGTTTTTATTTGGGGATTTTAATTTTTTTTATTAAGCTTCTTCTAAATTGCTGATTAGAAATCCCATGCCACTACTCCATTGCAAATAAAACAATTAAAAGTAGCCTTAATTTTGATACCAAATAAGCTTTTAAACTTCTGCAGCACCCACTTTCTTAAAATGCTCACACTAGTCTCTTTCTGAAAAAGTAGAAAATAACAGAGGGATGGGAATCTGTGTCAGCTCTTTGAATTTTAAAAAATCTTGTTTCTTTCTGATAGCTGTAAAACCAGCAATTCAGAACCCACTGGAGACCATTAGGGTAGAAAATGCTGTTGTAAATGACTATGTATGCTCTGTACTCATGTCCTCCACAATTAGCAGCTAACAACCAGCAATTGTTAAAAGCAGAAGGTTATTTTGACAATGAGGATCTGTGCCCTTGAAGACAGCAGCCCTGCAGTGTGTACCCCCCCCCCCAAAGTACAGTACCATTGTGTTTTATGTATAACTGCCTCGCGTTAATTCTGCTGTATTTATTTCTTTTGGAGGACAGTATGGGGCTGTGACTTAACAATACAATGCAAGCATCAGATCTTTCAAGGGATAATAGAATGAAAAATTCTGCTTTTCCCTAGGGGTTCGCTCCATTCGTATAAATAAAAATTATTTTTGGTTTGTTTGTTCTCCCTCTCTTTTTTTAAAACCCAGGCTTCTAATTGGAATCCCGATGGTTTCTTTGTATCGGTCGCTGGGATTGGCTCTTCCCCAGTTAAGCAGGCCAACGAATATTCGAAATTTCAGGTATTTATTTTACATTTACACCCTGTCTTTCTCCAAAAAGTGTCCGTGACAATTTATATTGTCATTTTATTCTTGTCGTTATCCTGCAAAGTAGATTGGGTTGAGGAAAAAAAGGGGTTGTGGATAGGAGGAGAATGGAAGGTGTCCCTTTTTACAGACTCTTCTCCAGGGAATTAACCCTGGAGAGGTAGTCCTTGACTTAAAACAATTCATTTAGTGCAGTGTTTCTCAACCTTGGCAGCTTGAAGATGTCTGGGCTTCAACTCCCAGAATTTCCTGGCTGGGGAATTCTGGGAGTTGAAGTCCAGTCATCTTCAAGTTGCCAAGGTTGAGAAACACTGATTTAGTGACTCTCCAAAGTTACAACGGCACTGAAAAAAAAGTGAGTATTGATTGTTTTTCAGAGTTACAACCGTTGCAGCATCCCCATGGTCACGTGATCAAAATTGAGGCGCTTGGCAACTGGCATGGATTTATGCAGTGTCCCGAGATCATGTGGTCAACTTTTGTGATCTTCTGACTAGCAAAGTTAATGGAGAAGCCAGATTCACTTAACAACCGTGTTACTAACTTAACAACTGCAGTGATTCCACTTAACAACTGTGGCAGGAAAAATGTAAAATGGAACAACATTTCCTTAACAGCTACCTTGCTTAGCAACAGAAATTTGTGGTCATAAATCGAGGACTACCTGCATTCGGGAGCTTGCTTAAAGCAGAAGCTTTCAGGCTGACTTCTTAACTGCCCATCTTCCTCACAGAACACACTTGCTTCTTGAAGTAGATGGCACTTTAATTTCTTTCATCAATGATCTGATGCAGTATGTCAGCTTTATGTTCCAAAAGAATCATTAGATTTGGATAGGTAGAGGCATGTGCCCTTCCCCCTTTATCATTATGTTGCTACTCTTAACAAGTGTGCGGGAAATATTTCTGCAAAATACTTGATGTTCAAGAGGGAACAAAGACCCTTGACATTTGTAATTTATCCATTGTGTAATGAATCACTGGTGGAATGAGAGAAGAAATCCTGAGAGAAAGGCTGGCTGTTCCTCAACTTTTGGAGTGATCCTTGAAAACTAAAAATTGGAGGCCCTGGAGCCAGCTAAGTGTCTTCTGCACAAATGAGTTCATGAAAGATGCAGTTCATAAAGGTAAAGGTAAATATTCCCCTCGCATTTATGTGCTAGTTGTTCCTGACTCTAGCGGGCGGTGCTCATCTCTATTTCCAAGCCAAAGAGCCAGCGCTGTCCAAAGATGTCTCTATGGTCATGTGACCAATATGACTAAATGCTAAAGGCACACAGAACGCTGTTATCTTCCCACCAAAGGTAGTTCTTATTTTTCTACTTGCATTTTTACATGCTTTCGAACTGCTAGGTTGGCAGAAGCTAGGACAAGTAATGGGAGCTCACTCCGTTATGCAGCACTAGGGATTCGAACTGCCAACCTTTCTGATCGACAAGCTCAGCATCTTAGCCACCAAGTCCCTGTTATGCAGTTCATATCAAACATATTTTTAGAACCAATAAGTTGCCTAGAATAATCCTTAGAGTGAAAATATAAACATATTTGATTCTATTTTGTGTGGCTTTGTCTATTTGCCATCTCCGTATTCAAAGCCAGATCAAGAACACCAGAAGGTTCCAAGCTACTTGTGGTCTCACATAACACTAACGTATCTTGGTTTGATTTTGGCTTGGTGGAAACTGTGAATCTAAGAGGTACAGTTTGACAAACATGTTGTGTAGCCTTAGTGTGAGGCTCCTAGGGCTTGCTCAACAGACTGTGACCAAAACAGGTCATACCATTATGAGATGGGGAACTCAGCATTGACCCATTGACCTGAACCTGGCTCCCCAGATTGCGATTTCTAGAATATCTAGCCATCGTGATGCCTGACCGGAAAAGGTTAATGGGGATAATCTTTGGTATAGGTATATAGTAGAAATTGAGACTTCCAGGAAATCTTGGAAGTCTCAATTGTGGACCAACTTAATTGGAAGTTTAGTTTTGCATTATTTTTCAGTACAGGAGGTCCTCCACTTAAAACCATTGGTTTGGTAACCATTCAAAATTACATGGCATTGAAAAATTGATTTAATGACCAGTTTTCACACTTACGACCCTTGGGGCATCCCTACAGTCCTGTGATCAAAATTTGGATACTTGGCAACTGTATTTGATGGTTGCAGTGTCCTGGGGTCAGGTGATCACATTTTTGACAAGCAAAGTCAATGGGGAAGCCGGATTCACTTAGCAACTGTGGAGAGGAAGGTCGTAAAATGGGGCAAACCCACTTAGCAGCTGTCTTACTTAGCAAAAGAAAAAAATGGCTTTATTGTGGTCATAAGTCAAGGACCATCTGCAGTGTTCAATCACAGTGAAACACCCTGTGATATATAATCAGTGGAGCTGTGCAGCATCCTGGGTCAGATGGGAAAAGAGGCATCCACATGCTGGTATCCCCTGAAACCAAATGCCTTTTTCTGAGATTACACTGCCGTAATAGAGCGCAGCCTCCCCATCCCAGAGAAAAGACTCGGCTGCTTCGAGGAGTTGTTGATTGGGGCTTCATTGATGCTCCTTTGTGCTTGGAAATAGCTGCTGCCTTTTGAATCCAGAGAGTTGCCCTCCGTGCGCAGAGCTGCATTCAAGATTCCTCACATAGCAATCACTCCAAGAGAAAAACAGAATGAATATATTTAAAACAGCAAGTAGTTATTCTAAAGTTTATTGGGATTAAAATGTGTGCCTTGCATAGCTGGAGTTCTCCTTTAAAAAAAAAATCAAGTGACTTAACTTTATAAAGGAAGTGTGCCATACATAAATTTATTTTAAGAGCCAGAACCTTGTTCTGTTAAAACTCAAACAATATGTGTGACGCTTTTTAATTAGGGGTACAACTATTTTTTTTAAAATAGTTAATGAGTCTCACAGTTTGCCTTTTCTATCATTATAAAAGTACAGACTATACTTTTATAATGATATACACTTACTGTACTGACTATACAGTAAGTGTATTCCCTATTTAGAAGTTAAGTGCCATCGCTTTTAAGTGGGGGCACTGCATGCTAAGTATTGGTAGGATTACAACTTGATTCTGTTGGCCAGATTCCCTCTGTGTAACTTTTTAATGCTAGCAAATGGGGATGGAGGTGGGGGTGGGGTGGGGGGGTAGCAGAGCCAGAAAGCCTGCCAGATAAATATTTAATCAGTGTTAGGTTTCTGTGTAAGAATCAAGCTTCATAATGGAATGGGTGCTTTCTTTCTCCATCTCTCTGTCTCCACAAATACCAGTATGTACAGGTAGTTCTCAACTTACCACCACAGTTGAGCTCAACATTCTGTTGCTAAATGAAACATTTGTTAAGGGAATTTTGCCCCTTTTTACGAACTTTCTTGCCACAGTTGTTAAGTGAATCACTGCATTGTTAAGTTAGCAAGTGTTGTTGCAGGAATCTGGCTTCCCCATTGACTTTGTTCATCAGAAGGTCGCAAAAGGGATCACATGATCCCAGGACACAGCAAGCGTCATAAATATGACTTAGTTGCCAAGTGTCCAAGTTTTAATCACATGACCCTGGGGACACTGCAATGGTTTTAAGTGTGAAAAATAATCATAAGTCACTTTTTACCATGCTGTTATAACTTTGGTCACTAAATGAACTGTCATTGAGGATTACCAGTATATGTACTGTTAAAGTGGTAGCATGTTTCTCTAACATCTTTTTATGTGTTTCATTTCAGTCCCTCATTGCTGGTTTTAACTGTATGACATAGTGTTGTTTTTATTGTGAAGGAGATTACCATGATGCAGGTTTCCCAACTTTCTGCCCTCCAAATATAACCCCCAGATTTCCCCAAACATATGGCCAGCATAAGGACACGGTGGCTCAGTGGCTAAGATGCTGAGCTTGTCAATCAGAAGGTCGGCAGTTCAGCGGTTCGAATCCCTAGTGCCACATAACGGAGTGAGCTCCTGTTACTTGTTCAAGCTTCTGCCAACCCAGCAGTTTGAAAGCATATAAAAAATGGAAGCAGAAAAATAGGGACCACCTTTGGAACAGTGTTCCATGCACCTTCGGCTTTTAGTCATGCCAGCCACATGACCACAGAGACATCTTTGGACAGTGCTAGCTCTTCAGCTTTGAAACGGAGATGAGTACCACTCCCTAGAGTCAGGAACGACTAGCACATATGTGTGGGGAAACCTTTGGCCAGCATTTGGAGGGCACAAGGTTGGAGAGAAAAGAGAATCCGGTACTTGAAATGGATCCTGAAGTGACCTTGGCTTTCTTAAATGTCCCTGGGAGATCTATTGAGACTTCTCTCTTCTCTTTTATCAGCCTCAGCAATGTGTGCAGTTATATCCAGAAGATGACTCGTGTGCGAGTGGTTGATAACAGCGCCTTGGGGAACACGCCGTATCACCGGCCTCCAAAATGTATCCACGTCTACACCAAAAACGGAGTGGGCAAAGTGGGTGACCGAATTCTTCTGGCTATCAAAGGGGAAAAGAAAAAGGCTTTAATTGTGGGGTGCAAGTTTCCTGGGCCTCGCATGACTCCTCGGTTTGATTCTAACAACGTGGTGCTCATCGAAGATAATGGGACTCCAGTTGGGACGCGGATCAAAGCTCCCATTCCTTCCCTGCTGAGGAAAAAAAAAGAATACTCCAAAGTGTTGGCCATTGCCACAGACTTTGTATAACTACCTGGGAGGCACTGCGTGAGAAACAAGGGGATGTTGTGGGACTGTCCCTTGAGTTGCATTTCTCTTTTCATTCCCAGAATTGAGGAAGAAGTGTTTGAAAAAAAAGTAGGAAGAGGATGGCGGGGAGTGCTAAGACATCTTTGGGGGAAAATACACTTTCCACTATTTTGGGTAACAGTTGTTCTTCTGACCTAGTTTAATTAAAGTCAGATTGTTAATTAAAGGCAGAGTGTTTTGTATGATTTATGCTTTTGAAAGAGGTAGAAAAGAAGAAAGCAAAGGCTGGAAGCATGAGAGGGCCATTCAGAGTGTCAAAAGATTTGACCATCATCTGTCCTTTTTCTGTTAACCTCCCAATAATTTTTGTGGGTTATTTCTTTCCCAGTTTTACTCTGTTAAAACATTCTATGCCAGTGTTTCTCAACCTTGGTGATTTTAAGTCTTGTGGACTTCAGCTCCCAGAATTCCCCAGCCAGCTATGCTGGCTGGGGAATTCTGGGAGTTGAAGACCACAGGACTTCAAGTCGTCAAGGTTGAGAAACACTGTTCTATGCATTGCTCAGATTCCAACCAGCAATAACTTTATAAGTGAATCCCAGCACAGCTTTATGCTATTGATAAAGGCAAATAAAGAGGAAACAGCAAATAAAGAATGTCATAAATAACATTTCTATTCTTGCTTCTCTCCCCTTCTGACCTCCTTAGAAAATACCTCCATTATTGTTACAACAAGGTTCCCCACTATTTTTTTTTCTGTCA